GAACTGTGTCCCAGGTTTCTTGAATGCTACGTGTACCATTTCTTTTTCTTCTTTCTTAATGTCTGAGTGTGACAGTTCATCATCTTCATGCCCTGAAAATTGACTTCTCTGGGTCCACTCCCTCTCCTGGTGTTTTTCACTGTTGTTTTGATTTGACTATAAATGGAAACTTTTAATATAGGAGTCTGGTACTATGTAGAGAAAAATGTGCAGGAATTTAAGTGCAATAATTTATGAAGAACCATTATTCAAATTGCATTTTTCACAGGGTCCAATTACAGATAATAATACCCAGTGATAGCATGATTACAAGAAGCACTGTATGTAGCTTGGATATAGTATAAAAAAGAACATGGATATATTTCACTGATATATGGTGCTGTAACATCTATATCTATATATCTGTATCACATAACTCTATATCTATAAATTTTTCAAGGGAAACTTTAGAATTATATTTTGAATTTGAAAACAGAGTTGATATGAGTGAATAGCAAGAAGAAATTTTGGGAAACTTAAAGCCTTACTTCTAATAGTTTAATATACGTGAACAAGACTTTTTAAATCTTTTAATGGTCTTTCTGTGAAGGGTGATTTCATATTGTTCTGGAGATACGTGTCATAAAAATGACACAGTTCTTGCTTAAATGCACTGCATGGAGTTTCTGCCTTCTATTTCTGTATCTTTTTCTTGAAGGAAGTTCTCATTGTAACTTTCGTCATCACAGAACTCTTTGTTTTTATGTTGTGATAACCCCCAACGTTCGTCCTATTATCTAAAGCCATACACAGTTTCCCTTCTTTCCCACTGCATGGCATTGACAATAAAGCTACCTGGAGCTAAGCCAATGAATTCCTCAAAGAAGCACACAAAAAAACATTTCAAATACAGCTTCTGTAATGACAGAACACAACCTGATTTCTGCCTCTTTATGCAATGGCTAGGTGAGCTAGTTTGATTTCTGAAAATAAATTTACTCAGGATATCTGGCCCAATACAACATACTTATGTCTGAGCAAAATAAGCGTGGTTGAGAATCTAAGTCTAATCACATCTGTTCTGTCACTCTCCTTGTTTTCGCTTTTCTGCTCTACACACAATCACTCTTCCTAAAGTCACTAGCACTTAAATTTAAAACATCCACCAGACCTCAACCGTAAAACTAAAGGGCCAACTACTCAAAAGATTTCCTGTAAATTCTGAGAAACCATATGCAACATAGATGGCCTATCAACTTGAATCACCTAAATAACTGAAAAGCCAGACAAGTCCAGTGCCTAAACCAGATCCCTGGCACCACAATCTATGACATAGAATTGCATTATGCATATTGCCTGTGTATACCAGGGGGTTAACCCCATTGATATAACTTTACTTTATTCTTTATTTGTTTTTGTATGAGGGATCGAACACATGACCTCGCACCTGCCAGGCAGGCACTTGTGCTGCTGAGCTAAAGCCCCGGCCTGTGATGTAACTTAAAAAAATATTAGAAAGCGCCTGCTAATCATGTGAGGCAAGAAGCCAATGATATGTGTACCCAGTGATAAGAGCAAAATCTGATCTACGCACGAATTACAAATAGATCCCCAGGAACTGGGAGGAACCCAATCACCTTCAGTGCTCAGTGATTGTCAATAGGGCCTAGGGGTACTGAGTGTAATTCTTCCCTGTCTTCCACTGGTCACAGGTTCATCTCTATGGAGTTACAGAAATAAGATTGGGACAGATATCAAACCTTGAAATAGGATTCCATCTATGACTGTACATTGTTGCTTTCTAAACATAATTTAACATTTCATAGGAGGCACTAGCATAAATATGTGGCTCATAGTTTCTTCCTATATTTATTTATATGGTCCCTGATAAATCGCCACAAGGATGTCTGGTTTCTGATTTGCACAAACACTCTTCTCTCTTCCTCGTCTTCATTCTGAAATCATGGTTGACTTGGAGAGGTTTAAACCACAGGAACAGTGTGTTGTCCTTGCTAGCACCTTCAGCATTCACTGCAGTAGAAATTTCATTCTGTTGCGTGTTTGCGACTATTTATGTAAGCTTGCCATGCCACAGCACACTAGCAAAGTAATCCGTAGGCTGGTATAATATTGCTTGCCCGGGTCAGCAAACCGGAAAGTAAACCCAATTTGTCATGTGAGGTACAGTTTCTCACACAAACGATTGAAAGCGGTATTTGTGAAACCGATATGTGAAAAAAAAATTGGTACTATGTAATGTCCTCCAACGTTTCTAGCAGGACAGAAAATATAAATACTGCAGAACTGAGTTAGTTTGAGATTCCCCTATATTATAATAGCCGCAATTCAGGCAAGTGGCAAGTATGATCTTCAATGATTTTTCTAATACTTCTGTTTTTAGTGTCTTTTTATTGTATAATAATTTTATTCCTTTAATTTTTCTATTTTTACACTGAGTAAAAATGCACATTATGTGTTACATATGAAATTATAAAAAAATACAGAATTGGTATTGTGATAGCATCACAATACCAGTACAAGCATCTTTAAAAAGACTGAAACTGTACACTAAAATTTGTCCTTTTACGAAAGTTTGAGAATGCTTTTCTTCAGGTACAAGAGAACTACCAAGGTTTTAATATTTTATATACTTCATATCTAAAGACATTAAGTCAAAGGTATGTTTTTCAATTACAAATTTTAAAACACTTTCACGCTATATCAAAGATAAACTAGATTTTTATAAGAAGCAGTAGAATAAACTGATGAATTCCGAAAACAAAGGACCTCATCAAGCATATTTGGAGGCAAAACTTTGGCAAGGAAATATTGTATTTGAGTAACAACCTTAATCTGGGGGAGGAAACAACTAAACAATTTGGCTTATGATCTGACATGGATAGGTGATCAGTTGTTTCCTGTGAAGATCAATCACACATGGCAATTCTGTCTAATGTCATTGATTTTTCCAGTGTCAGCACAAATTCTCTAAATTCAGGATAGCAAGATTGTGCACGAATATTGGCTCAATGCAAAATTCATGTGCAAAAATATAGTCTTAAAATTAAAGTGATCATTTCTTTGTTCTTGCACGTCTAAGGTACAAAAGAGCAATAATTCCATGTCATCTTCTGCATATCTTCTGAATTTTTATGAAAAATTCACAACAGCAAGGAACAGACACAATGAATTATATTTTCTCTTATAACACGTTATTGTTTAATAGGAGAACAGAGTACCTAGGAAATTGTGACATCAAGAAGGATAACAAATACTTAATACACAAATGGACACAAACTAACGATGGGTTCTTCATTTAATTAGAGAAATTAGTTTTATTACCTGTGTGGTAGTACAGAAAACACTGGTGAAACGGGAAGAAAAAGTGGCATCTGATCATGTACCAGAAAGATCTGTTCAATCCATGAAGAATTAAATAAAATCTCGCCGAGAAGGATGAAGGATTAATGTAGCCTTTTCTAAAAACCTGGGCAATCCTTAAAAGAGAAAAGAAAATGTTTGATCATTATGGATCTGAAAGAAATACGGGTCGTTCTGCCTTAAAAAAGTATACACATGTAAAATACATGTAAAGTCTGTCTTCTTGGCCAACACTTTGGCATATAAGCATTTTAAATGCAAAGCTCAAGTTCCTGATATACCACAACAGTACATCTTATTTTTATAACAAAAAGATTAGTGTCATTTTTTTAAAAAGCCAATGCATTCAAGAATGCCGAGCATTTTATACCTTCTTACATGAAAATTTATCTCGTATTGATGGTAGGGTTTTTTTTTGTGTATATATATATATATATATATATATATATATAAAATGTGTGTGTGTGTGTGTGTGTATACACACACACACACACACACACACACACACACACACAAATGCACACACAATACATTAGAAAGACTGTCCTAAAGTTCATCATTGTAGTCCAAACTGACTGTCGGTAAATTCTGAGAGTACTTGAAATTATTTAGAGCTCATTCCAAAGACAATGCTCACCATCTTAAGTGACTGACATTTGTTGCTGGCTTCAGTGTTTGTGAATTTGTAGGACTGAACTAATTTGAATTTCCTTTGTTGATCCTGGAGGGTTATCAGAACAGAGGGGAGCCACCTTCCTTGGAGGAGAAGATGAACTTACCACCTACTGTATTCGCGACCTCCTAGACAGTTAATTGAACACAATTGTGCTTCAGCATCCTCATCTATAAAATTCTGCAACAGTACTTAATTCCTTGAGATCTCACTCTTAAATACATTAGCCTTCAATGGCGTGCCACAGCTGATAACTACATATTTTGTTTGACAAATTAACAACAATAAACACATTAGGTTTGCTTTAGATTACTTTGGACCAACATGAAACAAATTCAACAGCGCGAACTGCTTAGACTCTTGTACTAACTGCTTAGACTCTTGCAATAAGTTTGCTATAATTACAGTTTTAGAGGCGCTCTATTTCATTTCATTGTTATGTATTAAATTTCATGTGGTACGTGAAAAAAAATCTGCTATAGAAAAACGGGGTTGGGAGAACTCACTGAAGAGTCCAGTGATGTGGGCAACCTCAGATCTCCAGGCGCTATAAAGAGAAGAGGGCCGGGAATTTAGCTCAGTGGCATAAGCGCCTGTCTGGCAAGCACAAGGCTGTGAGTTCGACCTCAGGTATCGCAAAAAAAAAAAAAAAAAAAAAAACCACCAAAAATAAATCAATAAAAACAAAATTTAAAAAGAGAAGAATGATCTCCTGAAACACATACATCTGGAGACCCCAAAGCCATTGCTCCAGCTTTTAAACACACAGATCTAGACCTCCCAAGCCCGTGAACATTTTGAGTTTCTAAGGCTGTGGCTCAGGTGGGTGCTGTCATAACGTAGACACTAAGGTCATGTTCAAGCCCAGATCTACTGGACCTGTTAACACCATGGGTTTTGAATTGCCTACTCCTTAAAGTAAGCACTGTGAAGAACGGAACTCTGCAGCTCCACCTTCTTCCGTCAGGGGGCGCCTATCATCGCGCGGCACGCAAAGGTCCTGCTATTGATCACACCACTAGGGGAGCTGTCTCGTGGCGGGGGTCACATGGTGCAGTCGTGTCACGTGAAGCTCGGCCCTCTCAGTTACCAACGACCCATCAGGCCTGACTCCCGTGAGTCACGTGGCTCGAGCGTCAGCGGACGTCCCCTCCAGGTCAAGTACCAGGATCTGCCCTTCGCGTGCCTGAAGCCTCCAGAAGGTGGCCTTCCAAGGAGTCGAAACTACCGAAGGTCGGAACTCCGAGGAGTCGGAACTACCAAAGGTCAGAACTCTAAGTGGTTCCTGCACTCTGGCTGAATTTTGATCTGGCTGAATTTTGATCTGGGTCCCAGAATTTCCACAGGCTCTTAGGTCGTTTTCCGATGGGAGGGGCACGACCTGTAGCAGTGAGATTTCTCAGAGTGTCCTGCTTAAATGGATAAGCTAATGGCTACCAAACAGCACAGGCTGCGAGTAAAAGTGGTTGGGAGGATGTGAGGCCAAGAGTTTTCGAGCTTAGAAGAACTTTTTTACACCTCGCCTGCCGCCAGGGAAGGCTGTGTGAGGGAGGGCGGGAGGAGGGGGGCGGGGGGCTGAGGGGGCGGGGCGGCGGGGGAACAGGGGGAGGGGGCGGAGGGGCGGGGCGGCGGAAGGGGCGGGGCGGAGGAAGGGGCGGGGCGAGGAGGCGGGGTTGGCCTAGGCCTTCACTTCTGTATGCCAGTCTGGAACCAATCCTACACTCCCGGGATCTGTTGTTGGTAGAGAGTGAGGCCAAGGAGGCAGAGCACTGGGGCTGGGGCAGGGAGGTGGAAAGCCATACTAGGCCCTGGCTCATCAGTCGTCTGTATGTGCACGGCAGGGGGCCTGATAGAACAAGCCTCCCTTCCCTCATCCCTTGAAAAATAGCTACCCTTGCTTATCACCTGGGGTACTTCACTGTCTTTGGAACGGGATGCCCTCCTCTGCCCAGGGTTTTTCTACGTACCCCGGAGACCTCCTAGATGCCAGTCTGGTAGTTCGTGGCACAGACGATTCCAAATCCCATCTTAGTCTCCGCCTCTTGTTTGATTTTGTAAAAATTCTCTTTGTCCCCCGTGACTTACTTTCCTGCAGCCAAACATACTCTCAGGGAATGGGCAGTGTGGGGAGGGAGGCGGAGGGAGGTGCAGGGAGAGAGGGAGGACTGGAGTGGAGGAGAGAAGGAAAGATTTTAAATGGTGGATATTTCGACAGAAATTTCACGGTAGGCAAGATGTGAAGATTCAGAAGTTATTACACTTAATTTGAAGGTCATCAGTTTCACAAAGACTTTTGGAGGTGGGCAGAGAGACAGCTTTTCTGTTCTTAGAATCTCTGAATGGCTTAAAACACACCGCTATGCAGTTTGGGCTTATAATTTTTTTTCCCCTCCTCTTCTAAGCATGCTTAGACTCCTTCTCCAAAACTTATATTTGTTCTTGTGGAAAATTAGAGTGAATAGAGTTAACATATTTTTAAGAAAAATACAGAGTGGAATCATAGGTGACAGACATGGTGCATCATGAAAACGGTATTGGGTGAGTAATGTTGAGCCAATAGGAAGATTCTGCTTACCTGGAGAGGGCTGTAACTACTGTTGGCAGGTAGTTCATTAATATTGTCAGTTATGATACTTTCGTGATGTAGATAGCTTAACTAATCTATTCTATTTTTCTCTCATTTCTGCATTTCCAAGTCTGTTCTGCAAAACTCTAGGGTCAAGAGACAGCAACAATAAAAATGTGTTCACAGAGAAAGGAGTTTGGGACATTCAGAAATAAAGGTAAATAAATTTCCATATTGTACAATAATTTTTTTGCATAATGCACTGATATAAAACAGGAATCTCCAAGGGAGGGGTAGTTTCCTCTAGCTCCTATGGGAATGAAATGTTTTTCCCACAGAGGCTTGGAGGTGCTCATGTTCTTCAGGAAATGTTGTTCAAACTAGTGTAACTCTTTTGCCGACTTAAATCCGTGTGCTGCTCTTTACTAAGAATAATGCAGTGCATGTTTATAATAATTATAACCTGCTTTTCTCATTGAGAGATTACTTAGTGCTCCTTCATTCATCTTGTTTCATTAGGCAGTTTCTCTCCCTCTTGATTTTGTCTTTTTTTTTTCCTGCCTGAGAAGTACCCCCAATTTTAAGTATGCTTCTGAAATCATGGTGGTAAAATCACCACATCAATGTAAGTCATTAGGAAGTGTTATCTGTTGCATCAAATGAAGTGTCTCATTGGTTAGCAACTTACCTGTGAGGATGAGTGTGCTCATTACCCCTCGTTTTATATGAATGAGCCACCTTTTTGAAAACTGTCTTACTAACCTTTAGTAACTACAGCAGCTGTATTTCGAGTCCCTGTTCTATGGCAAGCACCATGATAATACTGTCATGTAATTGTCTCAAGTCACCCACAGAAAAATTCTGAGAGATCGCTCTCTTAATTTACTTATGAGTCAGGAGAAGTTGGGTTGTGACAGGGTTATAGGCAAGCACCACATCTGGGGGCCTTGTAGCGCATGGGCATATTCAGGGCAGGTGTGAATCCTGCATCGATGGTGGATGCTGGGGCCTTGAGTGGCTGGCTCCTAGTGCAATACTTTGGCCACCCAAACTGATGGAGAAGCCACTATCTAGGTTGAAAATGGTCACTCACTGTGCCAGATGGGGAGAGAGCCCCAGAGTGTGTCAAACTGGAACCCAATGTTCTGGTTTAGGAATAGCACAGACATTCACAATGGGCCTGGCCAGAGCTATTCACTCACACAACCTACCCAATCAAATGCAATTGGGAGCTGCATTTCTATCAGGACAGTGCCTGGAAGAAGGGACAGTGAAAGCCCTTGGTGTACAGCGGCGCTGCGCTGTGTGGAGAAATGGAAGCTCAGAGAGGTTAAGGACTTGCCTAGTGTCACAGAGGCCATAGGTGACAGAACTACAGTTTGAATCCAGAAAGGTGCGATTTCAAAGTCGGCGTCCTTTATGTTTCCTTCCACATCTCACGCAATTCTCTTAAATGGGGTTCATACCTATTTCTAATAAAAATTCCTTTACTTCTGTGATAGAATTCCTGATATTGCTTAACCCTGTGATACTCTGAGAGTTGCTTCAATTAGATATGATGACTCTGGTCAAAAACACCAATACTGATAAGCCTCAGGCCTTGTCCAAACAAGTGAATACATCATATACTAGACTATCCATTGTATTTAAGAATAAAAATTATAAAAAAAAATAAAACTCAGTGGTAAGTGAAAGGACCGTTTATTGATCTTGTGTCTTTACATATTGCCAGGAAAATTAACAACACTAACCATAGACATTAAGTGGAACTGGTTACACAGGAAATGTAGTTCAAAAAAAATGGTAAATATCAGGGTTTTGCAGATAGGATGACAATAAAACCTTCTCCATGGCTGGAGAAAATTAGAGAAAAGGCAAAGAAAAGCCACACTTGGCTTATGAAGAAAGTGTCGTGCATGCAGTTACAGAAAGGCCTGAATAGATCAGAAGATAAAGATGTGCTTGGAATTTAAAATTTTGAATTAGGTAGATACTATCCCAGGAGAAATTACAACTTTCAAGCCTGATGTAGAAGAAAAACCTTACCACTGCTAAAGCACTCATTGCAAGTAATCCATGCAATGGCAAAATTACTGGGCAGTAGTTGCATTAGCTACATTCATGAGAAATGATCAAAGAAATCAGTAGCAGAGCCAAGCCAACCATGACTAAAGCAGCATAACACAGCTTGATTTAATTGTGTTCAACCCCAAGCTCAGGAAGTTAGTTCATCATTTTTAAGAGGTTCACAATGTGATTTAACACATTACCGGAAGAATGCAAGTAGAAAAGGGTGATTTTCGTAAAGACCCACTAAAAAAAGACACGAAGTAAATTAGCAAGCATAGCAGTAAGAGTGATTCCCACCAAGTCAGAAACAGAATAATACTTCTGTCCATTGACCGGCAGTACAAAGTAAAAAGGCACACCAAATACCACACTTAGTTGTAAAACATTGAAAGTGTTCCATTTACAGTTGGATTTGGATGACTCCTTATGAGGATCTCTCATCAACATCACTGTGAATCTACTGCAGTAAGCTGTACATTGTAACAGGCAGCAGAGCAAAGGCATGTCACATGCCTGTGTATATACAGATTTAAATGATTACATGTACAAGCATAGAAATAAAGAGCTGCCCACATGGTTGTCTTCCTCGAAACCTCAAGAAAGGCTGCGGAACATTAAGGGTAAACACACTGACATGTTTGTTGAGTGTAAGAGTAATATGCACAAAACCAAACAACACAGACATGTTCATGATGAATATATCATTTAGAAGAGCATATAATATATAATGCTTTGTGAAATATAGGATCCATTGGTTCACTCAGAAACCATCTCGTTCTCTTAAACAGTCTCATATGTTTTCCTAGATGGTAGAAACTGGAAAGTTACACGGAGATGCACCTAGGAGCTCACAGGGACATTCTGGCATGCATATTTTCCAGGAGCCCTTCGGGTTTGTATTGCAAAGGAAAGATCAATCACATTAAACACATATGCGAACTTGAGTCTCAGAGCGGACGCTGAGTCATGTAGGACCAGCGTACGGAGTCAGCTACTTGTAATGAGAGAGCTGTCTCAGTTTAAGGGAAAAGATTCTGGAATTTAGTTTCTGTCATACAGGTCAGTTAAAAGGTAGTGGTGGCATTTCAGTGGTGACAGTCACATAGCATGCAAGAGTTTTCCCTTGGCCTGGCAATATCTGATCCTGCTCTTCTTGTCCTTACAGAGTTTATGTAATCAATATGACATAATATTTAAAGTATGTCTCGTCTTCATAAAACAGCTGGAGTGATTTCTGGCATAGGCAAATTGGAACCTTGGTTAATACAATAACTGACACCAAAGTTCACTGCAAGCAAGGGATGCTGAAGGATCTTAGGATCAGCCTGGGTTTGGTGACTTCAATAGGCACAAAGATGACAAAAGTCCAATTCACAGGAGAGGAAGAGATACAGGTGTTCTGTGGCATGCAGTTTGTCACTTGTGGTCACTTGAAAGGACATGTTTGCTGTCAGTGAACAGGTGGACAAAGCAGCTACTTTGAGAGATGCCAGTGACACTCCTTTCCCTGTGGTCTTGAGCATCCTGTGATTGAGGAGGGTGCTGTCATCATTAAAGTGCTCTGCAGTGGTAGACTTCTGTAGGCACCAGCTAAGGCAGGAGATTCTGCCATTGTAGTCACTCCCATTTTATTGTTGATGAATGCACCCTGGGGCCAGAGGTGCAGTGATAGCACTGAATCTTCGGGATTAACCAACATGCTGCTAATCTAGATAGGCAGTAAGGCTGGAAGGGTAGCAATGACAGTCTGACCTACAGTGATCTGTGAAATTGGTTGGTTGGTCCTTAGGTTCCCTGGATCTTGAAATATTCAAATATTATCTTAAGTTTACATTTGATCCATTAAAAATAAGTACAACATTATGGGTATTTCTCTAGAATATGACATGTTTCTAATAAATGAAGAAAATAAGAATGAAAGAAACTCTATGGTGAGTTTCAAGTTTTGAGGGTCAATGACCACCCCTTATGCTGCTCCCATACCTGTCCCAGAGCACCTTTGTAGAAGAATCTACTGCAGAAGACCCTACAATTAAGACACAGGGAACTGGAGCGCAACTTCCTCCTAGGCTTAGCCAGTGGAACTCGCAGTCATGTCCCAGAGTTGCCGTGAGCTTGCTCTACAAATCTTTGGGCTGAGACAGAGCTCAAAGCACTTGCCCTTGAGAGGGCCTGATCATGAACACTTGCGGCTTTTCAGGCCATTAAGTCTCTGCTCAAATTCTTCAACTCTGCCTTTGTAGAGCCAAAGCAGTCATAGCCCCAGCATAAATATGGCTGGTATGGCCAGTGACAGTTTTTGGAAGCAAGGGATGCTGCAAGCAAGGGATGCTGAAGGATCTTAGGATCAGCCTGGGTTTGGTGACATGAATTTCAAATAATTTTCAGGCATCTGTGTAAAAGACCCTTCTCTTTACCTTTTCAGCCATTAAAATATATAACTCACATCTCAGACTTCAGGCTGCACAACAAGAAGCTGTGGGCCAGATTCTGACCACACGATGAACTTTGCTGATCCCCACCCCCCACAAATCTAATAGACTCCTTAGATTTCTAAGAAATTCCTGAGCATAAGGTCATCAAATTGAGGTGGTAGCCACTTCTGTCACCATCTGGCAAGAACAGCTCGAAAGCAAACATTTCTACATGCTCCTATCCTTTGTAACATTGGTTGCATAGTGCAGTGACAGGAAGAGCTTAGAGAGGAGCTCACCTGGTCTGAACCAGATTCTCTCTCAGCATTCTGGGTGGAACCTCTCATCCTGATGACTTTTCCCGTCTCCCCAAGTAGCTGTGATGTGTATTCAGGGTTGGCAACTACTTGAACAATTTAAATGATTAGAGTTCCATTGTGGCACAGTATTTGCAACTTTTATAATTGGGCTTTGGATTAATAATGTTCCAATCATAGCAAGTAAACAGCTACATTGGAAAACTATGAAATGGAATAATTGAATCGTACATAATTGAAAGACTGTCTCTTTGAAGGAGCAAGGAATTGGGAAAACACAGTGGTAAAGCACCAGCCACTGCAGCTTGGGTTTGGGATGAAGCAAAACTGCTGGCAAGGCTAGAGCAAAGGGTCTGGGAACCAGGGCTGATTCAACAGTGAAGCTGCTGCTGCAGGGGACAGTCACAAGCCCAAGCCAGGATCAGCAAGGAAGGGACAGCTCAGATTCATGAAATCCAAAGATGGGTTCTGAGGGAAGAGAAAAAAGGAAGAAAGAAATGAAAAAGAAAAGAACAGAAAAGACTGAAAACAACTTTGTGATGCGATTTCCACAGAGACATAAAGGAGCAATAAAAAGGGAAGCTATGCTCATGAAAATGAAGGACTAGAGACTGTCCAAGAATGACGGTTGATTGAACAAAAAGACCTACGTCTTCTTCCTCCTGAAGCTTCATTCTAACAAAGGCATCGAAGGTAAACAATCTTTGGTCTATGCTAATGATAGCGCACCTTTTAGAGCTTTCAGTGTAGCAAACAATTGGCTCCAGAACGGGTGCCACAGGCTCACCACCTGGTGTCTCTATGGTGCACTATGTTCCTGCAGTAACAAGGGAAGGATGTGGATGGATCTCTAAAGCATTTATGCTGGCTAAAGGATGCCAGAGCCAAGGGGGTATAGGGTTTTCAATTCCATTTACACGAAATTATAAAAGAATAAAACTGACATACAGTAACGTAGAGCAAATCAAGGCCTGCATGGGACCAGGGGCAAAAAAAGAGTTTCAGTGGGACCATTCTGGTGTGTGTGATGTATGTTCTACACTTTGACTGAGGTGGTGGCTAGCCCTATCCCTGAGTTTTACATGTCAGGAACTTGGGCTCAGGAGATGCTGGGTGAATCTTTGAAAGAAAGGTAGCTCATTTATCACAGAGAAGATACATCTGGTTATCAATAATAAATTGTTTCTGTTATATGTGGAGTGGAGTCAAGAGAAATAGTGCTTTTCTGCAAGTATGGCAAATCTCCAACACAGGCAGAAAGACACTTTTAGACAAGGAAAGCACAGAAGTGAAAATGCAACTGTTCTGCTTCCAAACCGCTCACTTAGACACACAGTTGACAATCTCCTGTGTTCCTTTGACTGACCTTTTCGGGATTATATTTTCACACAAATACCATAACTTCCATCCATACTTTCTTCTGAAGAAACATACCGTAGTGCACAGCTTTGTTACCTGACAGGGGTTTTTTTGGCCTGGTGTCATGTGGCAAAAGTCATGTGATGAATAGTCTGTCTTGCTTCTTAGAGTCAACCACTTAAACCTCAGGCCTTTCTGGAGTGATAATACTTTTCTGCCCAAAGATTGGAAGTGGAAACAACCCCATTGCTGAATCCTTCCACATAAGTGCTCCAGTATCGGCACTTTCCATTTTGGTTCCCTTATCCTGTTCTAGCGGGACTGCCGTGTTTAGTACTGTCATTCTGTACAATACAGTAATAGCTGACATGTGGCCTGCTCCCCTTTACCCAGTTGGTTGGTGGTTGTCACTTCTAGGACTAGTTAGCAAGGAGTGCAGCTAGCATGTATCCATATCTCACTAAGGATTGGAAGTTGTGCTAGGTACTTGACCTAGTAGTAGCCAACATACTTATAATATGCAGACATTTCTCCAGATTCTTTCCACGTATGTTCACGTGTTAACACACTTTTCACAATAACCCCATACGGGTGATGACAACAACAACAACCTACCCCCCTCCCCCCCCTCAGTTAGAACAAAGGAACAAACAAAGCAAGAACTTATGGGAGTGTGAGGACAGCGTTACTTACCCTGAACCACAGAATTAACATCAGGCTTCAAATCCCCGACGTCATCTGACCTCAGACCCTGTGACCATAATCACATGCATCTGTGTTGGGTCAGAAGTGAGTGTTTGGGCAAGACTCAATATCCAGACAGTGATGAATACACGGGACTCCTAAGACCAAGACCTCTGGCTCCAGGTCTTCTTCCCAAGAGACCCGTCAGTGAATGCTGTTTCCCTGCAGTGTCTCTGTTTTTCTTAGACTGTGCAGGAATTGTTTCTCTAGTCTTCGACTTGAGGGTGAAGTGGAGGGGTGCATGTCTCCAGGATGAACTGACTTCGCTGCGAGCTTTTTCAGTGTATTTTCCATGCTTTTTGCAGCACGCACCCTCATCTTTCTGACCTGCAGACCTCCCCTTTTCACTCTGTATGTCGTGAACTCATGACATCCTCTTCTTTTCCGTGTATATTCCATTGCGAGATCAATCATTTCTGCCTCGGTTCTGAAAAATATCAGCCACTCTTTGGCTCCATAACACTTCTGTCTTAAAGAGTCTTCAAAGCAGAGCCATGAAAGTATGTGAATGTATTTAAACAGAGTCTATTGTTGATAAATACAAAATGTGAGATGTCTGCTTCAAAGAATGAATTCTGGATCATGAGATGTGTTCTCGGGAGTGAGGCTCACACAAGTAGATGAAATATGCTTGGTGTCATTGGGTATCCATAGGAAGCTATCGCTTGTACTTAAATTTTTTCATGTATGTCTCCTGGAAAACTAGAGCAGAGGTGGAAGATCCTGGATCTACTCTGAAGCCCATGCTCTGGTCCACTGGGCCCTTTAGCGTGCTCCACGCTAAAGGGGATGCTCTGTTATTCTGGGCAACCCATGAGTATTGGTTTCCTGTTGTCTTGAACAGAGAATTTGATTACTGTGACCCTGTGACCCTGTGACCCTGTGACCATAATCACATGGTCACATTTTGATTACTTGCTTAACTAGAAGCAAACATATATTAAAATACCAAGAGGTGAGAAGAGATGTAAAAAGCACATTCAAAACAAGGAACAACATTTGGCCATGAAAAGAAACTGTAGTGGAATCCTGTTTTGTGTAGCCACATAGTTAGCAACATACACTTGGAACGTATGTATCTGTAACCTAATTATAAAAGCACATAATACAACACACAGCTACGTGCCCATGTGAGCACACGAGCAGGTCAAGAGCACTGTGAGCAGGTCAAGAGAAACAGAGAAGAGTGTGCCCAACACGGAGCAGCTAGGGGTTGTCACTGGGCAAGTGAGGGTTTCCTTTTTACCCTGGTCAGCAGGAGTGTTGCTGTCCTGTACTCGGCAGCATGGCACTGAGGTAGTTAGAATTCCAAAGTGTCATGGGAGGTGTCTTAGGAAGCCTCTTGGTGTCATAAATGACACCCATTGTGTTTCTGTGCGGGAGGTGGTGGAGCCTGAGGTCAACCCAGGCTGACAGTGAGAGGCACTAGCTACTTTGTAATAACCCTGCTGTTGCTTTTGATTCTCACCACAGGGCCACAAGCCAAGGACTGGGCTGAGATGCAGCAGTTCAGTAAGTGGGCACGGGTCTACCGTGCGTTTTGTCTTCAGTGTTGTCTCTCTCTATCGAATCCTTCTGTGACTTTCATTTATCTTTTCTTTCTGTTTTTTGTTTTTGTTTTTGTTTTTTTATCATGCTGTCTGTCCAGTGTGATTACCAACATGGGGCCTTGACTGAGATTGTAGCTGTGGCTTTCAGCTAGCTCACTTTCCCACTTTTCCCTCGGTGATGTTTTGTGTGAAGTAATACTAGTTCTCCAAGTGGACTCAGACCCTTGCTGTACTCCATCACGGAGCGAGTGTCTTGTTAACCTGCACTTAAAATATCTGATGTTTGGCTTTTGGTAATGAATTATGGTGAAAACACCTTGTTTTCCTGGCATTCTTCAGATGTCCCCAACAAAGATCTTTTTGTTTCTGTTTTAGAGTATTGTTACAGACTTGTGTTTGTTTAACATATGAATGGGCTGCAAACCCGCATTATAAAATTTTGAGCAGAGGAGTGACAAGATTTGACATGTGCTTTTTTTTTTTTTCCTTTCTTTTCTTAATCACTCTTCCTTCTGTGTTGAAAAATAGATGGTAAGGGGGGCAGTGTACAAACAGCAATCCCAATTGGAAGGCAGTATAATCCAGGAGATAGATGATGGTGACCTGGCCAGGGTGGTGGCGGTGGCCCTGGAGGAGGTGAGAATTGGATGGACTCCGGGTACATTTTGAAGGAGGGCTAAGAGAAATATCTGGATTCGTTGAATGTGGAGTGTGATGAAAAGTGAGCACTCCAGGCCGCACCCAAGTTTTTGAGGACAAGCAAGTAGAATGTGTGGGTCAAGTGGCCTGCTGTCTTTGATTTCATTTCCAGCCCCTTCTCCCACATAAGAGAAGTGCTAAAGTTCTCAGAAGGACTGTCCTGATGGTGAGTCGCACCGTGAAAGCAGTGAGTTCACCATCAGTGCATTGTAAAGTGATTGGGAATGAGCCAGTTTTTATCCATAAGTGTGTCCAGAGGCAATGTGGAATAATTAATGCACAAATCGTGAAGCTCACAAACATGAAGAACCTTAAATGTTGCAGTCTGTGAGGAAGCTGGTTCATGATGGTCTGATTTATCTTAATCCTCATGCCTCCCAAAGTACTAACATTACTCGCTGCTGGTACATGGTTTCAGTCGACTGTGCTCAAAATAAAATGTCCGTAGTGATTCGACCTGTGGGAGAAAGAACTGAGGTGCTATTATTTCTTCTGAGTGTGAAAAACAACAGCAGCAGACCTCCAAATCTTGGTAGCTGGTGAATTAGATACGTCGATGGGGAGTGTGGGGGGATCGAAAAACAAAAGCAACTTCTGGGAGTGAATACAGGGTGAGATATAACCAAAACATTTTATAAGTGTACTTGAGGCTAGCAAGACAAAGAGGGCACTACATAATGGTAAAAGGATCATCCTCCAGGGAGCTGGAAGGGTCCTAAGTGCGTACACACCAAGCAACAGAGACACAAAGTACGTGAAGCAATCCCTGGTGGACGGAGAAATAGCTGAAGCCACAGGGAGAGCTGGGGCCTTGAACACCCTAATCTCTAGAATTATGGGACAGAAGATCAGCTAGGATGTCGGAGATCTGAATAATATGTTACAGTAACAGGATCTAAATCACCTAGCTAGAAACTCCACCCAAGAATAGCAGAATACACTAAAGGGTCATGTTGCAATCACAAAGACAGAGACTCTTCCGGACCCTCAAGTCAACTTGGACAAATTTGAAACAACTGAAGTCATATAGAACGAATTCCCTGACCTGGGGAGAGTTCAGGAGGCTGTTTCCTGCATCCCACCAGTCATTAAAGTTGGTAGTGCACCTGCAAAGGAAGTACAGCTTCCTGAACCTTCACCAAATCAGTTCCGTGGCTGAGAGGGTTTGGGAGGTGTGAGAGGTGGCCTCCCAGCTGTTGGTGTTACATAATTGTTAGGAGGAGGGAAGCCTGAGAGAGGCCAAGATTTGGGCAGCTTCCTGGTGTGTGCAGCTGTTGTTTAGGTGACCTATGGGCACACACACCCCTGTTCCTTAGCAGTCTTGTTCCACTTTGTAGAAGGTTCAACATGGTTGCTTCCTCCTCCAAAGATACTTCTCCTGATTGTTCAACCTGTTGGGATAAGCTTCTCATGTCGGGACAGACAGAGAAGTTGGCTCTCTGGGGCTTGTGCAATTTGGTCCCTGCGGGCAGGTTGGCCCTTTGCTTATCCTGCCGCACTGTTAGCTCATGATGTGGTGTCTGGTAGGTGGACCGTGGACATGTCTTTGAGCTTGTATCTTTGTTCCCTGTTTCAGGATATGGTGATGGCACCAGTGCTCTTCGAAGAAGAAGGGGAAATGGGAGGGCTTCCTATGGTAATTTTGACAGAAGGAGCACTCGTCATGAACATAGTCGGCATGGGCTTCTGTCTTCACACTTCCCGAAGGATGATTCAAATGCGATAAAGGATTTTTATGAGGATCGCAGAGTGAGATAGTAAGTGATCAGCCTGGTGGGCCAGTAGCAGGCCCAGAACCGCATGACTCCTTCACTCCATGCGGTCTTCTTTGTTGTCTCTCACTGGACAGCTGAAGAGTGGGGGATGTGTATTACTTGTTGAGCAGTCCAAGTTGTGGCCCTGATATTGGATCGAGGAGGGTGTATAGAAGACATTCTTTGCACCTATGGACACTTTCTTTCTCTCCCCTTGGCCAGCATTCCTTACGTCAGACAACACCACAGGAGCAGAGGGAGAGGGTGTGATGTGCACAAAAGCCGTGTTAATGTGTGCAGAGATCCACAGCTGAGAGACAGAGAAATGAAGATGGACACACGGGATGGAACCCGGCAGAGCTGGTTCAAGGTCACAGTGAGTGTCCTGGCAGAGTCTACCTTAGCTAGAGTATTTTGGAACCTAACAGAAGGAAGATTGCATTAACCATGGTATGTTGGTAATGTGGAGAAGAACCCCTAGATAGAGAGAAAGGAAGATTAGGAAATCCCTACTGGGCACAGAAACAAGGAATCATGCCAGCATTCCTGTCAGAAGTCCTTTAAAGCTATGCAGAAAGTCAGAAAAGCACACTTAGTTGAGTGTGTTCTCCATCCTAATCCTGTGTGGTGTCTCTTTCTCCTATTCCTGATTTTACCTTTAGATTCCACTTGGCAGAACATACGACAAGACCTGGCTAATGAATTTAATCCAGTGCCATTGCAGTGTCTCCTTCAGCCCGGTTGATGTAAGAGAGGACAGGGAACCCAGCCGAGTGGGCCCCAGGGAAGCAGGGAGGCGTGTCTCCGCAGGGGCCACTGGCATCTGACACCACTGTTTCTGCCATCTCTGCCTGTAGTTCCACTACATCGAAAATAGGGCCCTGTTCTTCGTCCAGGGTGTGAGCACCGCCTCCGCAATAAAAGATGCCAGCAACAAGATTTATGATGAGGAGAACCAAAAGGTGCGTGCTGGGGGCCATTCCTTGCACCCTAGTCTTGGAGCTGGTGAGCAGGCCAGAGGCTGACTGCTGGTTGTCGTCTTGGTGATCAGAGATCCTCTCCTTCCCACAGATACGTATCTTTGTCAATCCTTCTGCTGTACCCTACTCTGTGCAGAATAAGTTCACACCAGAACAAATGAAGCAGCTAAAGGTAATGCAGACTCAAAGCATGCTGCGTACCCACTTTCCTTACACACCTCTTCTTCCTTCAGGCCCTGGTGCTCTTGTCGCTGCCAGCCACACAGCCTCACAGCCATTCCCTCTGTCTCCTCAGCTGACCATGAAGAAACGCTATGATGTCTCCCAGAAGGCTCTCAATCTTCAGAAGCTCCGCTTTGACCCAGGTATGGCTGACCCACACTAACTCTAGGCCAGGTGAGAGCAGAGGGATCTGCCTGGGAGGCCGACACATGGAAGGCAACTTGCAGAGGGTCTGTACTGGCGCTGGTCCAGCCAGACCCTTTTCAGCCTTCTCACTTGCTTCTGTCTCTTTCTCGGTCTCCTGAAGACTTGATGGACCATGAGATTGACATAATCCTGAATCGAAGAAGTTGCATGGTTGCCGCCCTGAAGATCATTGAAAGAAATTTCCCTGAGGTGAGTCCTTAGGCCCACTACCGGAATTTAGGTAGAGGGGCAGGCGGGGTCCGGTGCGGTGCAAGTTTGTGCCCCAGGCCCTAGATGGGAATCATCACTTTAACCCTCCCTTCCTAAAAGCTGTTGTCCTTGAACTTGCAAAACAACAAATTATACAAACTGGATGGCCTGTCGGACATCGTGGAGAAGGGCCCGCAAGTGAAGATTCTGAACCTTTCCGAAAATGAAGTGAGTACAGGGAGCCAGATGAAACTGGGGTTGGGAGGTGCTTGAGCGCACCCTCTGGAGTGATGGGAAGAGGCAGGCAGGGTGAGGGCGGGGGGGGGGGGGGGCTGGGGTACCTGGCGCCAAATGCCCCTCTTTCCCGGGGACTCCTTTACCAGTTGCATCGCTGTGTTTTGCAGCTGAAGTCAATCAGGGAGTTAGACAAGGTGAAAGGCCTGAAGCTTGAAGAGTTGTGGCTACAAGGGAACCCCTTTTGCAGCAAGTACGCGGACCAATCTGCTTATGTGAGGTAGGCAATGCCTTTGTCCCTGCCTCGGGACCTGTGTGCCCAAGAGCACGAGCTCTCCCCCGATGTGACTGTGTGTTAGGAGGCAACCCGGTCCTCTAGGTGCACCGCACCCCATTGCCCTTGCCATCTGTGTTCTTTGGCTGTGTTTACAGGTATCTTCTCCCTTCATCGGACCTGGTGTGGAATGTGTTTTCCACCTCTCTGCACCCGTCCTCCTCTTCCTCCAGCATGTTCTCCCATAGCTCCCACAAGATGATACTGGTTTCTCTCCCTGGTCCCGAGAGGAGCCCTCCTTCCCTTGCCCCAAAACGGTCCCCCCACCTGGCCCAGATTAACATGGAAGTTTTCCTGCCCCATGCTGAGCACTGAGACCCTGAGTGGCTTCCAACACGGCGTCCACTCCTCTAGGCCATTGCTGAGAGCTCTGCCTTCCTCAGGGAGGAATCTCCATTCCCTGCATCAGTGAGCCGAAAGTGGGCCATCAGTAGCGAGCAGAGAGCAAGGGGGCAGCCTGAGGGAGGAAGGGAAGGCACAGGACAGAGGAGGTGGGAGAGGCAGAAGAATAGGCCTTTCAGGGGTCCTGCAGCTCCCCTCTTCTGCTACATCAGCATCCTACTAGCTGGTTCCTCAAAGGAGCCCCGGACAGCTTCAGACAAGTATGATTCCTTGGGCAAGGCACAGGCCCTCTGACCCATGCTGAGCTGAGCAGCCAGACCCTTCAGTCTCTCTGGATCTGGGGATTGACCCCCTGCTCCTCCCATCCCCCTGCTCCTCCCACCCCCCACCCCCCGCTCTCCCTACCCCCATACTCCCCCAGCCCCCTTGCTCCCCGTGTCTGGCTCAGACTTGGCTCACACAGGAGACAAAGGTTCAAACTTCAGCCAGCAGGACTCTCTTTCTTCCTCAGGCCCCAGGGCCAGCCAGGGATGGTAAAGGAAAAGGCCACAGCAAGAGAGCCACTGTCTTTCTCTCTTAGCCCTGATCCCTAGTGCCAAGACAGGGCTTTGCTTCCCCTTTCTTGCTTGTCTGTAGTAGTAGTCTCCTTTGTTTCCCACATCCCTCCCTCCCTTCCCTGCCTTCAAGTCCTCTCTATTGCCATGGCCCCCATGGCCCTGCTTCCGTGCTGGACTCTCAGCATCATGGCAGAGCCCTGGGCTCCCACCCCAGGTCCCTGCTCCTTGCAAAGCCTTCTGTGGGGACTCTGAGGAAGGTAAGGGAGGCAGGGAGGGGCAGCAAGCCCTGGAGCCTGGGTTCCCAGGTCAACTTCTGGTCCTGAGGAAGGGGATCAGGCCAGTGTATGTGGGACCTACCCAGGGGCATGGAGAGGGAGGAGAGCAAGAGGAAGAGGCAGAAGGAGAGAGACTGAGCACCCCTGAACAGACAAATCACTCTATTTGATTTTTGGTTTTGGACAGTGCCATCCAGGATTTTTTCCCCAAGTTGTTACGCCTGGTAAGTACCTACCTTTGTCACTGTCTCTCCTTTTGTTCATACGTGGCCTCCACACCTGCCCACAAACCCTTTGGGATGTGGCTAGCCCACATGTTTGCACCAGCACCTCATCCATTTCAGAGTATGTGGATTCCTGAAAGACAGGGTGAGTGATCTCCCTGGAAAACATGCCTACAAGCACACACAGAGACACATATGCACACAAAAGCCGCGTACGAGTAGTAGAGATTTCCAAGACCCCCATGACACAGGTGCCCCTGGTACCCTTGCCCATGGAATTTCCAGGACCACTGCCCAGTTCATCTCTTCCCGTTGTTCACCCTTAGGCCTGTCAGTCTCTTTGGTCATCCAGCACCACTCGTGTGCTCGCTCTGCACTGCTGACTTCCTCTTTTCCTTCTCCAGGATGGCCAGGAGTTACGCCCACCAACTGTCAATGACATTGATCTGCGCAAGTTAGTAGAATCCTGCAAGGTGAGGAAGAGGGACAAAGAGAGCTTTGGAGTGTTGCTGGGGAGGTTTTGTCAGCCGCAGAGCCTAAAAATGATTTGTTTTTCTAGGAAAGCTACAAAGGATCTGAGACCTTGAAGAATCTGATTCTACAGTTCCTGCAGGAGTAAGATTCCCTGGGACTACGAGGATGCGGAGTGCTGGGATGGGATCGGCCTCCTTAGCACTGGTGTATAGCTAGGGCCTTTCAGATCTCATTTGGAGTTCTGATCACAGAGTTGCCCTGTCCCCTTTGCTCCCCTGTAGGTATTACTTGATCTATGACTATGGAGAGCGACAGGGTCTCCTCAGTGCTTACCACAATGAAGCCTGCTTCTCCCTGACCATTCCCCTCAACGCTATGGACCTAGACACGTGAGTATTATAGCTCAGACTCTGGTCTCGGCCTGTGACTTCCCAGCAGACATGGGACAGCTTCTGGAAACACACGTGCAGACTGGAGCACCTCTTGTTTCTTTTATTTTTCTCCCCTAGGAGCAACTTGTGTGAGTATTTCAAGTATAGCAGGAATTTGAAGACGCTCAAAGAACCAGGTACGGGTGTGAGGGGGAAGACTGTACAGAGGAAGGTCATGTGAGGGGGACAGTCATAGGAGCCAAGGGACCGGATGTGGCAGTGTGCTGATCTTCCCCTCTGCTCTTTTCTACAGACTTGCGGAGACAGCTGCTGAAGTACACGAAGCGAGACATTGTAGATTGCCTCTGTGTGTTGCCCAAAACTCGGCATGACTGCGATACCTTTGTGGTGGACATGTGGCTCCAGACGGTAAACACCTGCCTCCTCCCTGGGGCACGGTCGGAAAGCTGGAGACAGTAGGAAGTTAAGCAGGACCCTGAGCTCCTGTTTTCTCCCCTTTCAGGAAAAGATGCTTTGCTTTTCTGTGAATGGAGTGTTCAAGGAAAGTAAGTGTCTGTAGAAGGCCCTGCCCAGATGCCCTGCTGCTCTTCTTCCCTGGGTGGGAACCCAACCCTCCCAACAGTCTCCCACCCTTTGTGATTCTATGCCTTTCCTGCCCGTCCTCCTCTCTGTGTTCACCTACCCTCACTCAGCACACAAACCAACCTGGTCGGACCTAGACCCATGCCTGTGCCTCAGTCACTGGGGACACGGGCTGTGGAGTTTGACGGTTCCCCTCCCAGGTCGTTACCTCTGTGATCATGGGCATTTACTTGACCTCTCCATCCCCTGTATTTGTGAAGAGCTAGTACTCATCTCTCACACAGATATGAGGTGGGAATCAAGTGAATTTTTGAAGTGGTTTTCACTTTTGAAGTGATTTTCCCCCCAAAGTATAGGGGACCCACCACTGGGAGAGGATTGTTTCTGTTGTGGCCTTCCCGTTCCCACCACAACTTCATGTCTACGGATGAACAACTGTTTGGGTCCTGCTCCTTTCAGTACAAGTCCTTGGCTGGGGAATGCTGTGTGAGTGGGTGAAGCATGTGGAACCCTAAGAGGGTATTGCTGTTTGTTGGCCTTGAAGTACAGGGAACGTCTCAGGGTTGTGTTCATGCCTTCACCCGGACATTCATCGCTACTCCTGGCAGCAGCACCCGGTAAGTGCTGTGTTGTAGAGGGGAGCACTCATCTCAGCCTGGGGCCAGTGGCACAGGAATGTGGTGGTGCTGAGCTCGGGGTAGTCTCAATGTGAAAGGTCAACACATAGATCCAAGGAGCAGTCTAGCCTAAGGTGTTAAGAGTAATGGCTCTAGAATTGGAATGCCACTTCAGTTCCTGGCCCCCAAACTTGCTAACACTGTCCTTGGTCAAATTACTCGACCTCTGTGTGACTCGGTGTCTTTCTCTGAAAATAGGGATAAGAACATCCCCGTCCTTGGTCTGTGGTATAAGTGTAAATTCACTGGCATTAAATCTGTAAGTCCAGTGAAGTTGGTAGACAGTCTCTCCAAAGGTAGGCTCCATGGGTGCCAGCCATGTAACCTGGGCATCAAGTTCAGTAGGGGTATGGAAGGAATCCCATTGCTGAGTGACAGTCGTTAAGAAGGATCTTGGTGGCAGTGGCACAGGGGTTGTCGCCTTGTTCAGTTGCTTCAGGGGCTGTTTTTCCTCCAGTCTATGCATTGTGAATGACCACCTGTTTGTGAGGGATGCCAGGCCTGATGAGATCCAGAGTGCCTTCTCCATACCCGTGGCCACACCTTGCTCCAGCTCCACGTCCACCTTGTCCCAGGAGCATCAGAGAATGGCGCACGCTTTCTCCATACAGTCTGGAATGAAACTCCAGTGGGCTCAGAAGTGAGTGCCAGGTCACACGCATGAGTGTAGTGAAGCTGAACCAGCAGGGGAGTGACTAGTAGACACTCGTATGAGATTTGGGAAAATAACGTGTGAACGTTTTGTTTCCCCGAAACATGGGTCCATGAAAATGGCATCATACCTTTTTACTGCTGTATTTAAAGAATTTTTTAAGTAGTGTGATGCTCAAGTGACATTCTCTTTTTGTTATGACTTAAATCTGGGTGTCACCTCAAAGCCTTCTACACTCATAGCTCCTAGGTGGCGCTTTTGGGAGGTGACTGGGTGGTGAGTATGTGATACTACATCACAGGTAGGTGTTACGATATTATTCCACTGATGGGTTTCGTACCTGGACGTGATGCCGGGAGGCGAAGACTGGTGGGAAGAGGTGGGCCACTGTGGTCTTGGCCTGGGATTGCAGATATATATAGAGAGATAGATAGATAGATACAGATATACATATAGATATATAGATATACATACACATATACACATATTTATACATGCATAAATACAGATAAATATATACACATCTCTGTATACATATACATATACATGTTTACACATATATACAGACACATATATATGCATATATACACATACATATTTATACATACACATACATACACATATTCATAATATATATATATATATATATGTATATATGTCTGTACCTTTTCCTCTCTGCTTTCTGCCTGCCGAGCCATCATAAACTCTTTTCTTCTCTGCCATGCCCCACTGCCATACCACTGTGCCTTCGAGCCAGCCAGCGATGGATTGAAAATTGTACAAACTGTGAGCAAAAATGAACATTTCCTCCTTTATTGTATGAGTGTTGGGCATTTTGTCCCAACAATGAGAAAGCAACCAAGACAACTTTCAAGTGGAAAATCCAAAAGAATTCATCACAACAAACCAGTAGAACTAACAAATAATTTCAGTAAGGTTGCAATGTGCATAAACAATGTACCAAGTCATTTCTATTTCTGTGTACTTGTAGTGACAATTAGGCAATGAACAAACAAATGAATTTACAATAGTATCTGTCTCCCTTCTTTCCTTCCTTCCTTCCTTCCTTCCTTCCTTCCTTCCTTCCTTCCTAAGGAAAAACAGAAGCCCAAAACTTAACACTCCGACACTGACAAAACATGACTGCAAAAAAGTTATAGAAACCCTAAACAAGTGAATAGCCATCTCATCTCCATAGGTCAGAAGACTTCATGTGGTTAGAGTATAACATTGCCTACAGGAATCCTCAGCCCCAATACAATGCCTATCGAAATCCTAGATGGCTTCTTTGCGAAAAGTTTTAAGGTCTTCTTAAATTTCCAAAGGAAGTGAAATGGACCTGGAATAGCCAAAGCAATCTTGAAAGAGAAAGAAAAAGTTCAAAGACTCACACTTCTCAGTTTCAAAACCTGCTACAAAGCTTCAGTGTTCAAGGCTGTATGGTAGCGCATATAGACAGGCACAAGAGTCAGCAAGATGTAATTGAATAGAACCCCCTCACTGAACTGACCCTCACTCACATTTATGTTTGATGCATTGTTATGCAGACTACAAAAATAAAAATAAAAAAAGATTGTCCTCTGAATAATGATGGTGGATATCCACTTGCAAAACAGTGAATTTTTAAGCACCGCACCGAACTCTAACCGCACACAAACACTGACTGAAAATGGATCAATAACAAAAAATCAGCAGCTACATGGATAAAACCCAACAACTAGAAACACAGATGTTAAGTCTTCATGATCTTGAATTGACATAATTCATGACAATTCAAGAACATGAAGACTTAATATGACATACATTGTATGTGACACCAAAACCGTAAGTCACCAAAAGAAATAAGTTAGAATATCTTTTTTTCTCTTCCATCCTATTATCTGTCCTTTAATTCTTTCCCTTTTCTTTCTTCCTTCCTTCCTTTTTTCTTTCTTTCTGTCTTTCTGTCTTTCTGTCTTTCTTTCTTTCTTTCCCTATCTTTCTCCCTTCCTTCCTTCCTTCTTTCATATTGGGAGAGAAAGTGAGAGAGTGACTTTTGCATGTAAGAGAAACCATGCAATATTTAAGCTTCTGTGTCTATGTTTACTTAACATTACTAATGGTCTCAAACTGTATCCATTTTCCTACAAATAACTCATTTATTCTTTTTTTACGACAGAGTAGTAAAGGAGAAAAAAGTGGTATTATACTCCAGTGCAGACAGTGTATGTAAAAGTGTACCTTGACTTAATACAATTATCTTACATGTTTCATATGTTCTTTGGACTATTGGTGTACATATGGTAATTAACCTTATATGGTATCATAGATAAGTCAATCTCATGCTGAATAAAATAAAAAGCAGTAGAAGGAGTGTGCAAAATGAAGGAACTGAAATGGGCTATGCCTATGGTGAAGGTAAACGTGTACTGCAAACATCTACTAATAAAAGTAAACAAACAAACAAACAAAAAAAACAACTCCAGAATAAAATCAACGACACTGTGTAGGAGTCTAAAAGATGAACTGAAATCTCTGACTGTGCTATAGCACCTAAACAGTAAAACTGATTTATTAAAAATTAACTCCATTGGCACATTATAGATACACATAATGATCATATTCACCATAGGAAATTTATACGCCTACGTGGTATATTTTGATTCTTCTTTTTTTTTCTGATTCCCTCTCCTCCCTTCAATGCCTCTTCCCCTTCCTATTTAAAAAAAAACTTTGTTGTCAGTTTATTCCTTTTAAATCATTTTTTCCGTTTTACCCTTCCCCCCTTTACTACCTTAGTTCCTCTTTCCTTTGGAATAATTTCTTCCCATTTCTTAATATCTGTTGTACATTTGGGTCCTCATTTGGTCTTTGATTTTCTCACACCAGAGAGACAGTGCAAAGCTTATACATAGGATTCCAATTTATTTCACTTAAGTGTAAGGTTTCAAGTTGCATCCATTTACCTAAAGATGTCTTAGGTTTATCCTTCTTTATGGCAGAGTAGTACTCCGTTGTACAACAAGAGCACATCTTTTGTATCCATTGCTCAGTTGATGGGCATTTGGGTTGTTTCCAAGATTTAGCTATTTACAAACTCTGCGGTTATAAACATGGGTGCACATACATCTCTGTAGTATGATATTTTTAATTCTTCAGTGAAGATACCAAGAAGAAGAATAGCTGGGTCAAATGCGACAGCTAGTCCTGTTTTTTTGAGGAATCTCCACACTTATTTCCACAGCAGTTGCACCAGTCTACACCCACCAATAGTGGAGAAGGTATCTTTAGCGTACAGCCTATCCAACATTTGTTATTGATTGGTTTCTGGACACTAGCCATTCTTTCTGGAGTGAGATAGAATCTCAGCATTGTTTTGATTTACATCTCTCTAGTAAACAACGATGTTAAGAACTTTATATGTTTATTTTCCATTTGTATTTCTTCCTCTGAGAAGTGTGAATTTATCTCAGCTGCCCAGTTTTAGAACAGGCCTCAGTGTGTGCACACACACCAGCCCTGGCGAGAAGAGTGACAGCACATCACTAAAATTGATTTCATACCATCAAAAAGAAAAATACCTAACTTGGACTTTGTCAAATTAAAAGCTATTGAGTATCAATGGACACTCCCAAGAAGGTGCAGAGCCAAGTGACAGAATGGTCAAGCCCCAACTCTGACAGGAATACATGAAGAATCCTTACAAATCTACAATAAAAAGACAACCAACCCAACTGAAACATAGGAACAGGACTTGAATTGACATTTTCACCATTTTCCCGAAGGTACACAGATGCCAACAGGCACAACAAAAATTTCTCAACATTAGACATTAGGGACATGCAAATCTAAGCCATAATGAATTGCTGCTTCATGTCCAGTAGGATGGCTTTAAACCAATAAAATGAAAGGTAGCACATTTTGGTGAGGATGTGGGGAAATTGGAAATCTCCTGCCAAACTTGAAGTATTACAAAATGGAGGAGTCACTGGGGAAAACACATTGGCAGTTCCCCAAAATGTTGAATGCACGGTTAACCATACAACCTCTTAATTCTATTCCTCTACGTATATATTCTCTGCTGTGAAAATAAATTTCCTCAAAAGAAATCCCTGATACTTACAATAGGCAAAAAATGGAAAGGACACAAATTTAATCTTTTAGCTGATGCATGGACGGAATCAGTGTGGAACATATATACGGGAGGATAGTGTTTAGTCGTGAAAAATAATACAATCTTGATGCGTGGTATGACATGCGTGAAACTTGAAAGCAGTGTTCTCTGAAAGACCAGTTTCAAAGGGGCACACACCGTATGATTGCATATATATGCAATGTCTAGAATAGACACATCCATAAAGAACACAAAGGAGAGGAGGAGGATAGTGGTGGTCAGATTCTGTGCGAAGTGGGAAAATAGGAAATGGTCTCTAATTGTAAAGTGTTTCTTTTTGAGTTGAAAAATGTTTCACAATTAGATACGTAGGATCCTGTGAATATATGAGAAAACTACACCGTCAAATGTTAAGTATTACAGAATGTGTTTTGGATCTCACCTTTAAAATGATTGGAATGATTTGGTTCTTAACTTCCATTTGTTATTTCCTTGAGCGTTTTTTATTGTTACTTATTAAGCTCATTAATTACTTTGAAGACACTTATTTTTCCTCTTTGAATTCTAGCAATGCACGCATATTAGTGACAGTTGTTTTGAATTTCACATTCTTTCTTTGTCATAGCAATGCTGATTCTGGAATGTGCCCCAGCAAAAGAGTGGCCTAGGTTAAGACTTGCCAGTGTGTGGCCAGTGTGTCTGTCCTATAGTGACAAAGATCACCTCTTCTTCTCTCACTCCAGATGTCTTGAGGACAATGAGTGGAACTACAGCAAAGCTGGTCAGATCTTCACAGTGCTCCAGGTGAGGTCTGGGAATGGAGTGAAAGATGGATGCCTCTGGGCCTTCAGGAAGGTAGAGGCTGGGGCGGCCAGGGGATGGTACTCAGGGCTCCTGGCTCTTCTGACAGCCCAACTTCTTCCCTTCAGACCCAGGGCAAGATCCCAGCAGAAGCCTTCAAATGAATGCCCCAAAAGGAGCCTTTGGATGTCTTATTGCTCTTCATCTACCTCATCGTTTTTCGTTCTCCAGCACATAATCATACCCCTAGCTGGGCTTGGAGGCCTGACTCACCAATAATCCAAGGTTAACTTGTAGTCCAAGTAATATAACCATCCAAATAGCCAGTAGTTCTCTGTGTTGTCTCCGTTCAAGACGGCTGTTTACACTCACAATAAAGAGTGACATCGCAGGTTGCATATTGCGTGTCCTGGATTGCTCTTTCCCCTGCCCCAGCTGTGTGCCATCAGGGCAGAAGGCCTTGTACACCTGGCTGTCCTTAAGCAGATCCACCAAGCTGGTCCCCATAGGTACTTTGTGAAGAAATCCTCATAAGAGAGGACGTGTGCTTCTTCCAGAGACTGGCCTTTGGGAGGGCCCGGGCCTCTGTCAGATTGGATCTTATGGAAGCAGGCACACACCCTGGCACAATGGGATTTACAAAAGAGTTGACTCCTAGGTAGTAGGGGATGTGGGAAGTAAGGGAGGTGAAGGCACACAGATTTTTACTTCTCATGCCTAAACATTTGAGCATGTTCGTGGAGCACACCATGATCAGTTTTATGAGTTTCACTCAAGTGAATGGGAAATGGACATTTTCCCAGCTCTCTGCAGGCTTTCATCTGTCCTCCTGTGCATTGCCACACCCACGCCCCTTTCTGAAGGTGCTCTGTGAGGCCTCTCATTCTACAAATCTGCAGAGGGAGGAAGAGTCAGCCCGTCTGCCCAGAGCATCCTGCACACAGAGGTGATGCCAGCTGAGTGCTCCATCTCCACATTCTTGGGAACTTTGCCCACTGGTTTTTCAACTGCAAACAGCAACAGCAATAGTGCAGAATCTTGCTTTATGGTTGGTTCTGTGGGATCGTTCACAATAAACAACTGGCAATTAGCAGGTCTGAATTTCAGGCAAGTGTTGCAAATATCATCTGCACAATTTATGTCCCGCATTTGGGTAATACTTGCTCTTTAGACAACACGCAGCCTTAAGCTTTGAAATTAAGATGGTAGCAGTACGAAGTTTTCAAGTTACCATCATAGAGCTTGACACAGGTGAAGTACCACCGGTCGACAAATTGTGCCTGCGCTGTTTTGTGTTTGGCAGAAGTTGCTATCTTAGCACTGGTAACTTTTCAATTCTTGAAGTACATTTTCATCAGGGAGCCATAGGTCAGAGAGACAATTTCTGAAAAGCAGACACTGAGGGGATTGATGACATGACGCAAAGAATAATATCAACTCTGTACTTCCCTTAGGGCCTCAGTGGTCAGAGACAAGCTCCTGTGATTGTTTTAATCAAGGGTCTTCTTACATAGCTCAGCTTCACTGTGAGTAACAGAACCAGTCTCACACGATGAGGCAAAGAATCCACTTCCCTAGATTATTTCTCAAATTGGATGAGGAGGCACGACCTACTCTTAGATTGCATTTAAATTGGCGTAAGCCATTCTTTCATAATCTTTTGGAATAATGTAATCGTGAATGCACACATAAGTGAATGTGCACACAAAGCTTTATAGGAGTGGAGTCATAATGCTGATACATTTTGTATGCATTTTATCTAAGATGTAAAATTTACTGACAAAGTTATTTATAATAACTTTCCTATGATTCATACATTTTTGTTTTACAAGTTAATGGTTTTCACTGTGACATTTCCATACACATATCTATCTGTCATACATTGATCATATCCACAATCTCCCTTTCAATCTCCTCTCTCAATCCCCTATCCACGGGCCCCCTGTCCTGTCTCTAATGGACACTTTTCTACTTGCCAGTTCCCCACATCCCCACATGCATATGGAGAAAAACATATTATAATAGTTGTCCTTCTGCATTTGATTTCTTTTTCTCAATATTATAGCTTGGATCCAGAATGTCACACAAAAGTCTCATGTGTTCAGAGGTGAAGCTTTTGAAAGGCTATTTGGTCATGGGGGTGCTACATTAGTCTATTGATGAGTTTGCAGTTACATGTATTGTCAGGAGGTCGAGGAGGTGGCTGGGGACATACCTCTGGAGGGATCTCTGGTGATCTGGCTCTTTCCTCTCTCTGCTTCATGACTGTCATGGGTTGAGCAGCTTTCCTCCCATCAGTCCATCAGCATGCCGTGTCTTCTCTGGGGCTCTCTTCCCACGGACTGACTCCTCTAAAACCTCAAGCCCAATGTAAATGTCTCCTCCTTTTAGTTGGTGGTGTCAAACATTTTGCCTCTGCGATGAAAAGCTGACTAACACACATGCTGTCTTTCAAGAGCATCTGCTTTCCTATGAATGAGATGGCTTCACTCTTAGGCTGTAAAATACTCCATTGTGTGGGTATAGTATATTTCCCAAGGAGTGATCAAAATCCGTGGTGTGTGTTTAACTGTGTAGCAATGTCATTTTCTATGACTTTGGAAGAACCTGAAGTCTCACAGCGACATCCAGTGAATAAAATAGATAAAGAAACACCATCACCTTTTTAGAAGCCTCCTTTACGTTTGATGATACTCAACAGCATCGCTCTCCTATTGTTTTGTTTTTTTTTTTTTTTTTTTTTTTTTTTTTTTTTTTTTTTTTTATCACACAGTAGAGACACGAACGAGGATTCAGGAGCTCCTTCAGAAAGTTGTCATAATAGTGAGCTAAGTGCATTTGAAAATAGAACTAGAATTAATAACTAGAATAAATAAAAATTTTAAAATTTTAACAGAAAATATTTAAAGAGGCCACTCAGTAAAAAAGCACGTACACTGACCAGGCCTTTTTTCAAATGTTCGAGTCTAAATAGTTAATATATAAAAAATGTTCAACATCTTAATCATTAAATATATTCAAATCAAAACTACACTGAAATTCCCTTAGACTCCAGTCACAATAGAAATCATAAAGTATAAGAAAAACATGTGCTAACAAGGAAACGTGGAACCTTTTTCCTCCTAGTTATAATGTATATTAGCATAACCACTACCAAAATCATTGTGGAGATTCTGCATAAGCTAAAAATAGATCTACAGTTTCACTGAGTTCTACCTTTCCTTAGTGTATACCTGAAAGCATTCAAATCAGCTCACTGTGAAGATACATTCATATCTATGTTTATCACTGCACAATTTAGAGTAGTCAAGACATGGACACCAGCCTGACTGATCAACAAAAGATGAATGTATAAAGTATATATATAATTTTCACCAACCCAAGAAGGGGGACCTGTTTCGTGGGGTGCTGTAGTGAACCGGGTTAAACTGATCACTCTCTCAGCCTTGATTTCCTATTTCTGAAGGAGTTTCTATGGATTGAGAAGCAATTTGGATCCTTTGAGATGATTATTCTTACTAAGGTCTGTGGGCAGCTTCAGTTTCTGTAATAGCATAATTTTGCTTGCTTTTGGGGGTGTTACCTAGTCACAAGGCTCTTCCTTTCCTGAAATCCATGATTTAAGGTAACAGAGCCTTATGGGTGGATGTTGCTGAGTATTCCTGTAAGCCTCTTTCCATGGTATTCTCAATTTCAAAGCAGGATGAGTTAGACTATTTAAGTGTAGAACTAATAAATCTTGTAACACAGGCAATCCTTAAATGAGAAACAAGCCTATGGATAGAGTTGAGCAGAATTCTGACTCAATTTTTTGAGACAGGGTTTAACTGCACAGTCCAAGCTGGCCTTAGGCTCACTTTGTAGCCCAGACTGGTCTTGAACTTACAACAATTCTCCCGCCTAAGCCTCTTGAATGCTGGAATTAAAGGAATAGACCACCATGCCTGGCTCTGACTCAAATTTTTAAAGTAGTGTAGGAGACAAAAATAAGTCTGAAAGGCAAAGATTTATCCTCATTTTATTTACTCATTGTGTATCTTCAGGTCCTGTTACTAGGTCCTTGTTAAAAATCCAACCTGGACTTAGTTAATTCTTCAATCCTGAGGGATTTAGGGGGTTGGTCAATCTAGTTTTGCCAGGTTTTTGGTCAGGTATCAAAGTGGTATATGAGAAGAGAATATGCTTAGTGTTGAGTTTCCAGAATGCCTGATTGTAGACAGCTTTCCTTAAATACAGAAGATACCTTCACTTTATCTAAACCTGGGCCTTTCTCGATGTACTGGTATGTACAGAGCTGGCTAAGCTATTTCCTTTTCCCTTTTATTGGCTGTAAGCAATGTAAATAGGGCTAGCTGAGATATTGATGTGTAATCTTTAAAGCCAAGCAACCATTCTGTTTTCTCACATAAGGTCTCCCACTATAATGATTGAGCCCAGTGTGATGGCAGAGCCATTGCTCCAGGACCTTCAACTGGGTTGGAGCCTCAAGATAAGAGGTATGACTTATCAGGGAAGAAAAAGTTTGCATATCATAACTGAAGCACCAGACACCTAAACATTAAATGCTAACTCAATTGTGTCCTGCAGATTGGTCTTTATGTATATCCTTCTCTCTGTATATTACAGAGGTGCTTTATGCCCTCCAAATAGCTCAGCTCACATTACTCATGTAATTCCTGCCATTCTCACTGTCACTCATTCTCTAGCCACTCTTGTATTCACGAATTAATAAATGGCATAAGCTCTGGGTTGAGGCCTTGGTTTAATGAACCCTCACCTGGAATAGACCCAGGACACCTTGACTGCCAAGAAACTGTAAATGTCTTAGTGTTTTCATTCTCACTATGGGATGCACTGGAAGTGATAGGTTGGAATTAATTCACTAGAATTCCAATAATGTCTCCATGGGATTACAAATATAAACTTTCTGGACCTTGAAGAGGATGGAAAAAAGAGTTCAATATCTGGTCACATCTGGAGTTTTATTAAAAGGAACATTGTCTTTTCCTTTTAATTGTCTTTGTACAATTTTTCCTTTATAACCACATTTGTCTTTAGTAATTTCTTGCTGGATGTTCAAACAAAATATGTAACCCCTTTATCTGGCAAAATTATTTTTTTTTAATTTTTGTTACTATCAATGAGTTCTCCCCATGTGTTACATTTGGGACCTTGTGTGGGATCCAGTAATTCTTTCACTTCTTTACATCCACCAGTTGTGTGATTTGTAAGACCTTTCTGGTCTATGGTTTACCTTTGAAATATTGATAACATTTTGCTTTTTGATAACTTCCTAATTGCAGAATGCACTTGGGCGAGATCTTTCTCTCTGTTCTTCCAAACTTCCTGAATGGCAGATTGGGTAACTCATTATTGGCTGTCCTCTTAGCTAATATAT